GTTTGGGCTTCATAAGCCACTTTGGGGGAGACATAGCTCTCTCTGACCGAGGCATGTTATGCTGCACGACAGTCTGTATATTCTCTGTATATAATAACCATTATTGCACTATAAACTTTTGCCTTTTCACCTCCAGTCGGTCTCCAGGCTTCTTATTAACTGCACCCAATACAGACATGCACAGTTCAGCAGCCTCCCGTTCACTCCCCATGGCTTCCCCTGGCATCTGATCGTGCCGGGGAGGGAATGCGCTGTGGCTCAGGGGATCAATATGATCCCGCCACCGTGTGTTTCTTTTGGTGCGGCTTTCAAAAGCCGCACTTTGCCCGGATCAATTTCCCCCATGTGGTAGAGGCCTAAGTTAAGAGAAACACCTGCACCTAACTCCCAATTAAAAAGGCTGACGCAAGAACATCTGGTCAATTAAAAATTATTTAAACCACCTGCTTTTATAACAGTGTTTAGTGATTTAAACAGGTCACCAACTCCACCAGGAATCCCAAAGACTTTTTCCCAAAGATTCCTGTAAAACAGCAATAATCAATAGAAAATCATTTGAACCCTTGTCACTTCCTACAACACATAGCTATATCTGTTGATGGATGGATGGATGGATGGATGAACACCACCAGTGTTCCCTCTAAGCTGAGTGAGTGTGAGCTAGCTCACAGTTTTTTTGCCTCCGGCTCACACTTTTTTGTCTTAGCTCAGGAAGGATGACTCCTCCAGAGCACAGTAAGTTATGCAGTAGCCAAATCGCTTGCTCACAACTTTAAAGCCAGTAGCTCACCAAGTAGAATTCTTGCTCACAAGACTCCACAGCTTAGAGGGAGCATTGGACACCACCCCAGGAAATCTGGCCAAGGGTTTAGAGGCCATGGTGAGATGGCTGAAGTAGAACTGGTTGAGACTGAATCCATCAAAGACAGATTCTCTGGCTGGGGGAGGGGCTCAGGTTTGGGGTGCCAACTCCCAGCTCTTGACCACATGCCTTTTACACCAGCACAGGTGGTCAAGAGTTTGGGTGTGATCTTGGAGTATCTGGCTGTCCTCAACCAGAGCCAGGGTCTTCTTGGTCCTGGCTCTGACTTCGTGGAACCCTCTGCCTACCAATATCATGGCCCTGCGGGATTTGTTACAATTCCTAAGGGCCTGCAAGACAGAGATGGTCCGCCAAGCATATGGCTGAGGACAGCAATGGCTTTAACATTGGTCTGGCCCATTCGCTGCTTCTTATCCCCTCCCCCCATTCTAATATAAACTGGGGGCTTGATATTTTTATATTATTGGCACCATGTAGATTTGTTCTCGGTTTAGTACTTTTAGATTTTTTTTCAGGGCTATTTTTGGGCAGGAACGCACAGGAACGGAGTTCTGGCTGGCTCCTGAGTTGGCCACGCCCGGCTGGAACTCATTAGCATAACGGGCCACACCCAACAGCAGAAACTCATTAGGATTGGCTACATTAGGGGTGTGTGGCCTAACATGCAAAGGAGTTCCTGCTACAAAAAAAGCCCTGGGTTTTGACAACAAACAAGGTAAACAGAATAAGAAGCAAAAGGTGGGTGTGGCTGGATGACCACACTTCTGGTAACACGGGGGTGTGGCCTATTATGCTAATGAGTCCCTGATGGGCTTTTTCTACAAAAAGAGCCCTGATTGTTTTTAATATATTTCTATGAATTTATTGTATGAATTCGTATGAATCTGTTGTACACCGCCCTGAGCCCACTATGCAGGGAGGGCGGTATAGAAGCCTAACAAAATAAATAAATAAAATAAATATTTAGTTGAGGTCTCTCCCTTCTCCAGACTCTGCCCTCCTCAGACTGTACCCCCAAATCTCCAGGAATTTTCCAACCTGGAGCTTGCAACCCTAGCCAGGCCTAGTCCCAATGAGTTCTCCCTCAAAGGTCAAAATAGGCCTGGAAAGAGTCCTGCCCCCTCCCCCTCCCATTTTACTAACAAAATCTGAACCTGGAATACTGTGGTTGCCTAGCAACTAAGGTTGCCAATTACCCCTGGCCACAGGCCTGGAAAGAGTCCTGCTCCCTCCCCCTCCCATTTTACTCACAAAATCTGAACCTGGAATACTGTGGTTGCCTAGCAACTAAGGTTGCCAATTACCCCTGGCCACTAGTGGGGGATGGAGGGGATGGTTGCCTGATCCAGGTTGGGAAACTGTTGGCAATTTGGGCGTTGAGCCTGGGGTACAATGTCATAGACCCCCCCACACACACACACACATCCATTTTCTCCAGGGAAACTGATCTCTACAGTCTGAAGATCAAGTGTAATTCCAGGGGATCCCCAGGTCTCACCTGGAGGCTGGCATCCCTACTAGCAACAGCAACTGCGGGAATCCATTGCTTAAAGCTACAGGACCTCCTTTGATCATTTTTGGATTTTTTAAAACTGCCCAGTGTTTTGTGTTTTTTTTTTAGATTTCACATTTTTCTGCAAACCTGGGGCCCTTTTCAGGTTTGTAGGACGATCCATCTTGCCCGTTCACAGCTCCTGTCACCAGATTTAAGTATCCAAAGATATGTGGACTTCATTATTCGAATATAAGATGTAATATGTATAATGCTTCTTTATTAGTGCACAAATAATGTTACAAAACAAGCACATTTTACAAGAGAAATTTGGTGCCGGGAATTGAGAATGATGCAAAACTAAGGAATCGCCGGCTGGATTCTCATAATCAAAATGCAGACTTTCGGATTTTACAAAGGGATGAGAAAGTCAGAATCACGCCTGCCACCATGCGCAACCAATGCACACTAAAGCCCGCCTGCTGCAAAGTGGTTTTTGTCTCACTTCCCCGTGTGGCTGCATCACTGTGCGCTCGCTTGCACTCTCGATATACAAGCAGTAATAATCAGCTTCATCCTCTGCTTGCATGCTGGAAATGGTTAAGGTGGCAGAGAGGGCCGAGGTGTCAGTGGAACCCGAGAATCGGTCAGAGATGCCCGAAGCTCTGCTGGCATCACGATATATGAGCAGTATTGGGGGACTGCCAGGTTTCTGTTGGTACCAAGAACTGTCATACTTATCTAAACTCCCACCACTTTTTGTACAGGTGATTTCAACTGTTTTTCCAATGGAGGCTGACACCGAGGGTGGTTGGGTCATCGTATACCGGGCATCACAACCTGGAATCAAAATATGTAGCAAAAACTAAGTAACTGAATTAACTAAAGAATCACAATGAGATTAAAAAAGGAGCAAAAGAAACTAGGAACAAATAAGGCATTTTTAAGGCATTCCTCCTACCCCAGCAGTATGCAAGAAACATAAGGATCATCAAAGCTCTGGTCATGGTGAGGAACCGACTGCTTCCTTGGGCAAACCGGTTTCAGGGTGGGACTCTGAACAGATTTTAAATTCTCCCCAATGTAAAAGTGAGCGGGTATGCAAATATCTTCAAAACTCATTGGTGGCCTTGGTCAACTAATTCCTTCCTAAATTACCAAGGGGATGATGAGAAACTCTGCATGGAACTATACAGTGAGATGCTTTAACACGGCCCTGCCAATTGATCTGGGGGCCCAGATGTTTGCTGCTGGACTGCAATGAATCGTCGGGCACATGGGATGCTCCGGTCTGTGTTGCAGCAATTCCCAGTTAGTCTAAATAACTTTGCTCTGAGTTCATTGCCCGGTGCCAACAAGGTCTGCATCAGTTCCAAATGATCAGACTCAGGGAGATGGCTTGGGAGAAATGCTTACATTGAATTGGGGTTATCCAGAACTGAGCTCCAGGCCCTTTTTTTTAATCCCAGAGGTCAGTAGGAACAGAGAACTCCCTAATGCAGAAGGCCATTCCTGAATATATGCAGAGCATCTTGTCCTCACTACTAAAGCTACCATAACTCAACATACATGAGGAACTGAGAACAAGGGCTTCCAGAGCAGAAAACATCACTCCATGCCTTCAGTCCTGAAACCTTTCATTTTAGACACTAATTGCTGCAGGGAACTTAAGTTTACTCCAGCTGACTCAGGTTACCAGATTCCAGCCCAAAGATTACTTTTAAAATCTGCAGCTAGACTGGGAGATGAGGAACCTATCAATTCTCCTTTCTGCTTTTCCCCTCTTCTCGTCATTTCCCCACTATACACCTGTTCTGCCACACACCTGGAGTCAATCCCTGGTCTTTTATTTCACCCTCTCCTATACTGCCAGTTTAGTAGTATATGCTGTACGGTAAATCAAACAAATCTAAAACAATAGCGACACCTAGTGGGGAACAGTATATCTCATTGGGCATATCTTGGGCGAGTCCAATAGTTCTTTCTTGCCATTAGTCCAAAAAGGAAGGGGAAGGATGGGGGGGGGGGTGTATTTATATGTGCTAAATATTGCGTTGTAAGAACAGAAAAACTCATAATATGACAGTTCTGCATTACCTAGGTTCTGTTTACTTGCAAATATATATATATGGGAGATGCTGAAGGAAATTATTATAGGATGATAATAATAATTATTATTATAGGATTGTCAACCTCGGGGGGGGGGTATTTATATGTGCTAATTATTGTGTTGTAAGAACAGAAAAAGTCATAATATGACAGTTCTGCATTACCTAGGCTCTGTTTACTTGAAAAAATATATATGGGAGATGCTGAAGGAAATAGGATTGTCAACCTCCAGGTGAAGCCTGGAGATCTACCAGCATTACAATGGATTTCTAGATGGCGGAGAACAGTTCCCCTAGAGAAGATGGCAGCTTGCCATGACCTGGATAGCCCAGGCAAGCCCGATATCAGCAGATCTCAGAAGCTAAGCAGGGCCAACCCTGGCAAGTTCTTGGATGGGAGACCTCCAAAGAATACCAGGGCCAAGAGGCAGAGGCAGGCTATATCAGCCTCTTCTCTGGGCATCCTTCATGCCACATTGGGGGTTGCGAGAAGTCACCAAAAAAAGGAGAGAAAATGGCAGCTTTGGAGGGTGGACTGTACGGCATTATACCATATTGAGGTCTCTCCCCTCTCCAAACTCTGATCTACCCAGGCTTTACCCCCGAATTTCCCAACAGAGAGTAAGCAACCCGAGAAGGAAACTATGCATACACATTACAAAACACATGCCTATTTGCTCCCTCTGCTTCTCAGGCTCCACTCCCCCTGCATCCTTTAAATGAAACAGCAGCTGGGAGCTGCCTGAAAAGAAGCTTGCCTGGGCAACAATCACACTACTGCAAAAGTGATACAAAGATGCCATAAAGCACGTTGCTGGAAAATACAGTGAAGATACTGTGGATACTCAGAGAGAATACAGAGGAAAAGATCATCATCTGGTTGAAGAAGGACAGTAAAATACCTTTGTTGTTGTGGAAGAACAGGCCCGCTCTGACCTGCGAGCCCCGTTCTGCCCTGCCCTCCTGGGGGTTCCTAAGTCCCTGGAGGGGCTTTTCCTTTCACTCTCAAGTAGGTGCCACTACCACCTCATCTAGGGATTTCCCACTGAGGGGATCACAACCCTCTCCCTTCCCACCTCAAAGGTCCCGCCTCGGTGTCTCCCGCTGCCCAGCACCTGGCTTCCATGGGGACAGTTTTAAGGCCTTGGGCATCCTTGGAATAATAGTTGCTTGCCAACTCCCCTGGAGGCCGTTTTTAAAATAGTGTGTCCAAAACAATGGGGGGGTCTATGTGGTACGGAGAACTGTCCCTTGCATCAACAGTTTAAAATGTTTACTAAGAAAGAAATGTTTATGAGCATGTTTTTAGCACAATGCCAAACTGAAGCAAGGAAGAAAAAAAGAAATTGGTAAAACACAAATCCTCTGTCCCTCTCAGCTATACGTTCCCTAACAGATGTTAAACTAGGGCTGCGGTCACACACACTAAATAATCCACTTTCAATCCACTTTCAGTGCACTTTCCAACTGGATTTTACTGTGTGAACTGGCAAAATCACATTGGAAAATGCATTGAAAGTGGATTGAAAGTTGATTATTTAGTGTGTGTGACCACAGCCTAGGACAGGCTCTTTAGCTTTAATAAGTTACAGCTCCCTACAGAGCTTCCCTTACCTTGAGGCTTGCTCCAACTCTCCAGGCCAGCCACATGGTCAGTATGGCTGCTTCAGGAGTTAGGAGTCCTGTGTCTTTTCAGGAATTCAGTGTCCCAGAGAAAGAGAGAAACTTCCTCTTGCAAGTTTCCAAACTCTGTCTCTCCACCTACTTTCCCATGTCACAGCAGGGAAAGAAGCATTTCCTCCAGCTCATTCCTGGAGACTGTCTCTGGAGTTGTGCTAGCCAAAAGCCTTTCAAACTCTGTTTACCTACCTGGAGGGGGGGGGAGTCTCGGTCTGGCCCATCCCCTTTTCTCACCGGCTGGTGCTTCTGGAATGCCCTGATTAATTCCCTGCTTCCCAGCCTGTAGGAAAAAGCCCTTTTAAAAATGCCAAGTGGAGGCTTGCTGCTTGCCAGCCTCCCTCCAGGAGAAAATGCATTTCTCCACAGTTGTAATGCATCTATTACCATAAGAGCCTTTCAAAACACCGTCCATTTAAAAAAAAAATGATAAACCATGGAAAGGACTTCAACAAAGTTTGAGTCCAGTGAATTTCCAAAGCAGGGCAGTTGATGTTCTCCCCTCCCACCCCCCATCCCCATTTCCAAACTCTTCTCCAAATTGCACTTTGCAGGATAGGGTGGCCAGCTCAAGGCTGAAAACATTCTGAAGACTGGGGGTAATGGAGCCTGGGGAGAGTGGGATTGCTCAGCAGGGAATAATGCCACAGGGTCCACCTTCCAAAGCTGCTATTCGCTCCAGGGAACTGATTTCCTGTGCCTTCAGATTAAATGCAATGGGGGGGGTGCTGAATATGCTTTTCAAGGAGCAAAACCTTCCTGCCTTTGAGGCAGTATAAAGGGCAAACATCGAACGAAGATGACCCCTACTGGCCACGGGGGGGGGGGTTGGGGAGCACGTCAGCCT